AATGTTTGGCTCAACTCCTTGTATGTCCACACAAAAATACTTTTATGTGTGGATTTTACGGAAAAACATTGAATAAAGGCACAAAACAATATGAATTTGCAGTTTCCAAGGACTCTTAAGTTATGGATGTCATCAAACTTTGCCGGCCATTTTCTCGCTAATTTTACCTCTGAAACCAAGTGAGCTCACCTCTTTCAATAGCAAATATCTCGACTCGACTTCTATTCAAGAAGATAAATATATCTTTTTTTTCATTGAAAGCAAGGCAAATGAATAACCTTTAAGATGATACCAATAACTCCATAGGCCCAAAACTCGACGAGCGCCTGATTCCACCGTGTTGCGGCACAAATAGAGACAGAAAAAAACAGAAGGCTTGAGTGGAGTGACCTTACATTTCCGTTTGTGACCTCTGTCTGGAGAAACTAAGATACATCTTCATTGTCCAGATCCTGGTACATTGGTTCCGTGTTTTACCACATACACACACACACACACACACACAAACAAACTGACTAACAGATTTACATACTTACAGAAAAAGTACAAGAAAATTTTTTTTTTACCTCAGCAAATCTTTTGAAGCAAAGATCCAACATGCCCTGGGCGTTCTTGGACAACAAATGTTGGGGGCCTGGGGAAACAGAAGGCCACAAACAAACTGTTACATACACACAAACAAACACACGATTGTCGATTATACCGACACATAACCTACCCAGCAGTCTTCAAGGAAACAGAAGGGAACAAACAAACTGTCACATACACACAAACAAACACACGATTGTCGATTATACTGACACATAACCTGCCTAGCAGTCTTCAATGAAACAGAAGGGAACAAACAAACTGTTTTTAGTTTTAGTAAGTGCTTTACAGCACTTGCAACACAATAAGGTCACTTAAGTGCCCAAGATTAGAGGTGTTACAAGAGAGTAACAAACACAAAAAAGAAGGAGGGGAGATAAGGACGATAAACGTTTGATAGGAAAGAAAAAGCAAACCACACCAGAGCACCCGCCAACCACCCACCTAACATACTATTACACACGGAGAAACCAACACACAATTTTTTATTATACCAAACAATAAGTCAGCAGGGAAAAAGCTTGTTCATCAAACACAGGGGACAGATTAAGACCATGCAGTTTTACAAACAAAATGGCGCCATAAACTTGTTTTTTTGTTTTTGTAAAGTGTTTTATGGCGCTCGCAACTGCATAAGGTCATATGAGCGTGCGGGACACACCTAATATTTTCAGTTGGTAGGATATTTTGAATTTTGCCCGGGTGGCGGCCGAAGCCTACTCTTATCGATTTTAGACCACCAAGGGATCTTTAACGTGCGCAACTTGCACACGGGCCCTCCGAGATTTTTCGCCCTTGTCCGAGAAGGCTAGGTGTAGATCTTTCCTACCAGAAGATCAGGGGTGCGGCAGAAAGTCAGCAGTAAGGAGGAGCCAAGCAGTAGCAGTAGAAAGGCTGCAGAAAGAGTCAGGAGCCCAGAGGAAGGGGCAAAGGAGGTGAGGGGGTGGGGGCAGAAAGTGGAAATGAAAGCAGACAACAGAATATTGCTAGAGAGCAGGAAAGGAGGTGAAAGGAGACACTTTTAGAGAAGAAAATTTTTTGGTCGCTACCCGGATTCGAACCCGGGACCTTTGAATGAGAGGCCAACACCTTAACCTCTAGGCCACGAGAGCCCCCTGTGGCGCCATTAACTGTAATGGAAAATGGACAAAAGCAATATAAAGATATATAAAGCTAATATTTTCAAATTTCTTTACCACTTTGCCATCACAAGGCTCACATGGTAAAAACTCTTGACATCTAAGGCAAAGGCATTTTGGGGAAAACTCAACCAAAGAAACTGGGCGGTAAACATGGCCGATCGGCCAGACGTGACGGCAAAGTGTTAACACAATTTGTTGAGAAATTATTAAAAAGTCTACATGAAATTAAAACTTCAAGAGTCAGAGAGGAGGCCAGATATAGACTGACCGTTGTACCACAGACATAGACTGACCGTTGTACCACAGACATAGACTGACCGCTGTACCACAGATATAGACTGACCGTTGTACCACAGACATAGACTGACCGTTGTACCACAGACATAGACTGACCATTGTACCACAGACATAGACTGACCATTGTACAGCTTGCTGTTCTCCACAATCTGGTGCAGGTCGGTGAGGAAATCTTCCCGCGACCGGTACTTTTTCTGTCGCAGGCTCTGGGGGAAAAAACAAAACAAAACAAAATAGCTTAGTACAAGCCATGAAAGGTTTTTCATCAAACAGGCCGGACGAGGAAAGAAAAAGTTTTCGGTATATTACAAACAAGTTTATTTTCAGCATTAAATTTGAATTTTTAATTTTTGACACTGGAAAGCGAACGACACAGGTGAACGAGAGCTCTTTAAACAAACACATTTCAGAGTAACACAAACACATTTATTTATAGCATACTAAACAACAACACGCTCAAACATGCGTTTAAAAAAAAGAAAATCTAAAACATTTCAATATAAGAAAAAAACAAACAACAAACCCACACACACACAGACACAGATGCAGGCAGACACAGATGCAGGCAGACACACACACAAAACACACACACACAGACACACACACATACCTCTCTCATGGTTTGCATGTCCATGGGACGTTTGATGATCTTGTAGTAGTCGGGGACGTCTTTGGGGTTCACCGGGAATAGGAACAGCTGGATCTGAGACACACCAGGTGAGAGGTGAGGTGAGAGGTGGGAGGTGAGAGGAGAGAGATGAGAAGTGAGAGGTGAAAGGTGAGAGGTGAGACACAACATACAGAACAACCTCAGTGCTTTCTTGTCCTATTTCCATTTTTTTTAAACAGTGAAAACAGTTCATAACAAAGAGTGAGCACACACACACACATACACTTGGAATATTCAATGGGTGTTTGTGTGTGAGGAGTTCAGGACCCAGCAAACACACACACACACACACACATACATACACACACACATACACACACACACACACACACACACACACACACAAACATACACACACACACACACACACACATGAGGAGTATTCAACAGATGTCTGTACAGGAAGAGCACTTGAGGAACTGTTTCCTGTTGTTGTTGTTGTTGTTAGCGATCCAGTAGCATCTGAGCGTTAACTCTTCTGCATGATGCCATTCGGTAATAGTTGCATGTTTGTTCTAAATGTTTTCTTGAGGAGTAGAGGCAATTAGGTGTGTGGGGTGGCTTGGGAAAAAAACATCCCCTTAAATCAGTTAGTTTTCTACAGAAGAACAGATGATGTTCCACTGTCTCTGAGGGGTAGTCACATAGTGGGCAGGCAGCAGACTGCTTTACCCCAATTCGGTTGAGATGTTGGTTGAGGGGTACATGTTGTGTTCTAAGTTGGAAGAGTATGGATTGATCTCCCCTCCTCAACTCATTGATTGGATCTTTGACCAGTGGTTTATTCATGTGGCCATACATCCTCCTTCCTGTCGTACCTGTGGCCCACTCATTCATCCACTCTTCCTTGAGGTTTGACTTGATCATTTGGCAGCAGGTGCTGTTTCCTGTCACCTTGCAAAAAACCAATTAATTTCTCCCTGCCAGATGAATAAAGATTGTCAACGTCATTGTCAAAAGATCAGAAAGCAGAGTTTTGTCATCACTGTGTCCACACACACACACACACACACAAACATACACATACACACACACACGCACACACACACAACGGGCTCTCTTCTTACATCTGGCAAGGCTCTCAGCTCATTCAATATCGACTCAAATATCGAAGACAGCGTAACCAAGGGGTCAGTCCTCCGTCGGTTCGACGACTGCTTGGGTTTCTGAAGAAGAAAAAAATACAAATGTGACGTAGCAACATTTGGCATGACTTCACTGTGCCCTGTTGGAGATTTCACTGAGGTGTTACAACTCACACAAATTGACTAATGGTTCTTCCATTTCAAGAGGAGACAGACTCCCACACACTCAGCACAATAAAAGGAAAGTGTGTGCGGGGCACAGCGAAAAAAAGTTTGCTCCAAGGAGTGGTCAGGCGTGTCTCAAACCAGCTCCTCATGGAGACAATTAGCAGGAAGACCCTGAGGTGGACGCTGGAAAGGAGAGATGAGCAGCTATGGATATGTGCTGCCTGCTATGATTCTAGCTCTGGATCCAAGTGAATCCAAGTAATCCATTTCAAAGCACATGCTGAGAAAAAAAAAACCAAAGAGGAAAAAACAAATGTAGCGCCCAGTTCCAAAGACACCTGAACAGACGCAAAGGTTTTGAACATCTTACTCTCATTGGAGAAAACAAGGCAAAAGAGGCAGAGATAGACCGACAGCAACTGTGGGCAAACTACACAGATTATCTCCACTACCCTACACTTTTAGTTTTAGTAAGAGTTTTACGGCACTTGCAACACAATAAGGTCATATAAGTGCCGAAGATTAGAAGTGTTACAAGAGAGTAACAAACACAAAAAAGAAGGAGGAGAGATCAGGACGATAGATGTTTGATAGGAAAGAAGGAGCAAACCACACCTGAGCACCCGCCAACCACCCATTACCCTACACTACATGGATATGTCCCCCCCCCCACCACCCCCCAATACTACAGCGACTGTGGTCAAACTTCGTGAGTCTCACCAATAATAATAATTATTATTATTTTAAAAAGCATTTATGATGCGCATTTCCTTTCCTTTTAAAAAGTTCAATGCGCATTAAATTGATAAAGATATTACATTTTAACACATTACACCCTAAGGGTCTGGACGGGAAGTCCATTCCTAGATCCTAAGCAAGGGGAAAGAACCCACCTCCCCTGAATACTAGCCTTTAAAAAACACATTTAAAAAATACTAAACAAATTCCAAAAATCCTGAAAAAATAAAAGTTAAAAAGAAAACTGAATGTAGTTTCAGAAAAATATAACTTTATGTATGCGCAAACTGTTGGAAATGTTCTAACTTTAGTTCAATCGGGGTGTCCGACCCGTCACTCTCACTCTCAGCCTCGCGGTCGGGCCCTAGATCTAAATTCTATGATTTCTCCGTCTGATCAATCGGAATCGCCCCAAACTCTTCCTACAACGTTTTCATCAAAATCTGAGCCATCTGATTTGTCACATGCTCGTTTTTGCTCAAATCCATCGTTATTTCCATTTTCAAACTCAATTGTGTCGCTTTTCAACAAGTAGAGGCACTTTCGAAGTGTCGGTAACGCGATCGCACTTCGATCAGCTCTATTACTAAAACTACTGGCCCGAAAAATTTCGTTTCAGTATCAAACGAAAGAAAAAAACTTTTTGCTATACTATGCAAATCAAAATCCCGACCCCAGAGTCTCGTCAAGGCGAGACTTTCGTTTCTAAAGACACAGGGTCGGCGCGGGCGGTTCCGGGCGAGTTAGGGTGTAATGTGTTAAAAATTAATGGACACTTCAGCGACTGGTCAAACTACGAGAGTCTCTCCACTCACCTTGAGGTAGTCGCAGTGCACAATGTTGCTGACGGGCGGCGCTTCTTCTTGGTCTCCACGGCCTGTTTGGGAACCTTGAGAACCAGGGACTTTCTCCGGATACTTTCAGCACTGGCGACACAATACGTACGTCGTGGTAATGTTGGTTTGTTTGTTTGTTTGTCTCAGATCCAGCTGTTCCTATTCCCTGAACCCCAAAGACGTCCCCCCGACTACTACGGAAGATCATCAAACGTCCCAAGGACATGC